GGACATCGTTCTTTGAGTTTTATTCATCACAAAGTTCAATATTTGTACACAAAAAATAATGAATTAATCAAAAGTATCAAAAAAAGTTGATTTCCTTTTGAATAACTGTATCAACTCCACAAAATGTTACCAAGCTGTGTTTTGCTATCACTATTTCGTGATAAATGAAACTTAGTGGAGTCGTTGCCCAGACCTTTTAGATTTGTTTAAACAGTTGGTCCTTATTACAAACACCTTCACAATTAATTCTGCGTTGACAATATCCCTCAGGTTCTCTATAGGGTTGAGATCCGGAGATTCTCCAATCTCCGGATCTCAACCCTATCCAACACCGATAAGTGGTTGTCTTGAAACCACTGCCTAACTACTTTTACAGTATGTTTCGGATCGTTGTCTTGCTGAAAACCCTATTTTTTTGCATATTCCATTCAGCATGAGGTAACAATACATCTTTCAGGATATTTTTGTACATGAAACGGTCCCTTATTCCATCAATTTGATGTTTTGGACCTAGACTGTTAGCAAAAAAACACCCGCAGATCATTACTATGCCTCCACCATGCTTTACAATCTTATGGCAGTAACGTAAATCGAGGCGTTTTCCGGCCGGTCAATGTACACGGCAAATGCTCCATCGCTCCCAATGATGTTGAACTTCGATTCGTAACTGAACAGGACAGTTCGCCGTTTCTGCACATTTTATTCAATATGAGATGTTGCAAACAGGAGTCTTTTTTTCTGGTTCTTTAGTGAAACTAGCGGTTTTTTTGAAGGGCGTTGAGAAAACAATCCGGCTTCATCAGCACATCATCTGATTGTTCGGTCCGATACAAGCAGATTTAATTGCTTTTGTATCTTGACTGATAATATCCAGGGAACCTTCTTGACGGATCTGAAGATCATAGAATCCTCTCTAGGAGTAGTGGAACGCGGTCTTTCAGTTTTGTTATCTGCTGCCAACTTCCTCGTAAACGATATTTGATAATAGTCTTGATACGGTCCATTTTTTCACGCGATATTTATCACAAATACTTTTTTGTGACATTCCACTTACGCTATGGCCAATAATTTTTTTTCTTAGTTCCAAACCAAGACTGTCGGGAGCCAGTTTTGTACTTGAATTTATAAAAATAATAAAATCAAATAATCACGTTTCTCAAAGCTTACCGTGTTATATTTAACTTGTGATGATACAATAATGCTCTGTTGAACAAAACGTCTTGGTTGGATGTGGACTATATTGATGTAATGAAACTTTTTGTATTTCATAACTTGTATTGATGTTCTTCAATAAAACAATTTGATAAAACTCACTTCGATAAACTGTCTTGATAATACTGACTGATTGATTTCCGTATACTGACTAAATTATATGTCGGTTTACATCTCTTATATATCTCTTATATATAAGAAAATGATTTGTAAACCTGTTTTGGAAGATTCTATATGCTTCTCTTCGATGCTTCTGGAAGTTTTTGGATGCGCCTGGATGCTTTTGAATGTTTCTGGATGCTTCCAGATGCTTCTTCTGAAAACATCTGGAAGCTTCTGCATGCTTATGAAACTTCTGAAAATATCTGGATACTTCTTTTAATTATTAAAAAACTTCCCTGACGTTGACACGGACCAGATTTAAGAAAATGAAACAAACCAAAAAAGTTGCACTTGTTTTGTCCGCTGCAAAATAGTACTTGTCAACGAAATTCTCCTTGTCTTCTGTCACATGTCAGCTGATTGCTCAGGTCATGGCTTGCTATGACTCTAGACTTCTGAACTGTTTGCTGTGGTAGCATAGTTCATTTCGTTTTTAAGACATGTAAAATTAGGAACAATTTTTAGCATTTGTTGATGTTTTGTTGCAATAATGTTACGTCCAATACTGTATATAAATTATGTTACTGTATTTTAAAAATAGGGTGCTCAATCTTCATCAGTAGGTTTATCAGGAAGCAAATTTTTAGGTTTTACATGGTTTGCTCAGGAGGTTTGATCATTTTATGTAGGTTGGACACGGGCAGGTATCTTATTTTGAAAAAAATTGAACTATAAGAAATTATCCAAGTTAAATAGTAATAAAGTAGAACTTTCCAGAATCCACTGGAAAAAGGGGAACACGACAACTGGAACTGTTGCCAGAAATCTTTTACATAATAATGTATTGCCAACGGTAATTACAGATCACATATCAAGTCAAACATATTGCAAATTAGTTTAAAAGTATGGCTTGCTTCTTTTCACTAATTGAAGAGCAATCTCATCTGGCAAAAAAATTAATATTGAGCAGTACAAAAAAATGTGTCAAGAGCTAAACATCTTGCTTCTACAACAATTTTATTAGGCTATAATAACTCCAACGTTGGATAAATTTCTTGCTCATAGCTGGGTCTTGATAGAAATAAATGTTTTTACCGGTTAAAAACTTGGAATGAAGAAAGAATGTAAGCTAATGAAAAGCGTCTCAGGTACTTCATGGAAAAAGTATCAAGAAAAGTTAATCAACTGGTTAATATAGAAGATTGCTTTAAAATATTTTCGCTGGAGTCTGACCCATTTCTTGCAAAAAAACAGAGCAAAGTTCGGCTATTTTGAAAAAAATTTAAGATAGAGAGCATTTTAAACGTATATGTGTGCGCAGAAGTGAATTAGATGGCAATATTTTAAACAATCTTTTTGTTTGTAAACATTTTTTTTAAGACGTGTATTTGTAAACTTATTAAAACTAAATTCTCAAACTTTAACCTCAAGATAGCTATTTAAAAACTCGTTTTTTTTCAAAAAACGCTATTGGGGCTAACTTAAACATTGCAGCAAATAAAAGTTTTTTTTTAGTTTAGAAATCATTTAAAGTTTAGTATGACGTCCATAGCGGTTTTTGAGATGACTGAAATGTTCAAAAACTACAGCAAAATCATGAGCAAAAACTCACAGATATTATATAACTTTTATTAAAACTATTCAATTCACAAATATTATATCACTTTTATGAAAACTACCCAACTTTGGTTCCAACTTTCTTCATGAAATACTGTATTTATACGCCAGAAAAATGTACTTTTTTGTTGACTCTTCATTTCTTTATTTCTTATTGTTATCTTATTCTTATCCATTATTGTTAAATAATAATTGCTCAAGTATTAGATCAATTATTTTTTATTTATTATTTTTTTATCACTTTTTTCGAGTATACTCAAAACGCTGTTTGGATTTAAAGCGTTGTTTTTCTTCCAATTTATTCAACTTTGCATAGCCGTAACTTATTAAATAAACAAAAACTTTAACTTTTTTTTAAATTTAAATCTGTATCCCAATTAGGCATACAAAAAATAAGTTAAATTTTAATTTCAAAGCAATAAATATTTTACTAATGTCCGTCATTTAAACTACTATACAGCTATGCAGCATACAATCGCTATTTTTAATGAAACGAAACAATAACTTTATAGACTTTTGTAATTCTTGGAATTTTCCAAACAAAATCTTTATATTTTTATAATACTGAAAAATACAAACTGCAAAAAGAACAAAAGCACCACCCACAGAAATACACTACTTAGATTTTAGCTCACAAAGTTTTGAAAATGTAACTTTAAGGCATAACGGATCTGGCAATTTTCTTGCTTGAAACAAAATTTCTTTTTTTTCTAAAAATTGTTATTGTGGTTTATCATCCTCCAGCTAATTGCCATATAGAGGCCACATAACCAAGGCCCGCAAATACAGGTTTGGCTCCCAAGGAGCGTTATAACCCGCTCTACGGACCTAGAGTAAAGTGAGTTTAGGAAGAACGAAGATATGTCAGAGTGAAAGACAGAAGTAGTCGTGTTTGAAAGATAGCATAAAAAAAGCGCACAGGATTGCACTCGATGTTAGGAGGTGCATTAGGTTGAAATAGGTTCTTTCCAAAGATTGGTATTGTGGTTTATCCTCCTCCAGCTAATTGCCATATAGAGGCCACATTACCAAGGCCTGCAATGACAGGTTCGGCTCCCAAGGAACGTCATAACCCGCTCTACGGACCAGGAGTAAAGTACGTTTAGGAAAAGCGAAGATATGTTAGAGTGAAAGACAGAAGTAGTCGTGTTAGAAAGATAGCATAGAGAAAGCGGACAGGATTGCACACGATATTAAGAGGTGCAATAGATATAATAATAGCTATAAAATTTTACATTATATCCGTTTAGGAGGTGCAATAGATGTAATAGTAACTATGAAATTTTACAATATATCCAAAAACTGGTATTGTGGTTTATCCTCCTCCGGCTAATTGCCATATAGAGGCCACATTACCAAGGCCTGCAAAGACAGGTTCGGCTCCCCAAAGAACGTCATAACCCGCTCTACGGACCAAGAGTAAAGTGAGTTTAGGAAAAACGAAGATATGTTAGAGTGGAAGACAGAAGTAGTCGTGTTAGAAAGACAGCATAGAGAAAGCGGACAGGATTGCACTCGATGTTAGGAGGTGCAATAAGTTGAAATAGGTTCTTTTCAAAAATTTATTTATTAACTTGAATTTAACTCATCTTACAAAAGTTTTACATCCATTTATATAATATATCTACCCACAAAATCAAGATTACAAAAACCGCCTAATACATAACTTTAATTAAAATAATTAAAAACTATTGGTAAAAGAAACCACGCAATTGCCTAGGAATGTTCTAGATATTTCTCCACTTTATTTACAGCAATATAGTTAAGATCCGGATCCGGATTTTACCCTGATTTCTAAGATTTGGGCCCGTTTTCTAATTCGGATGTAATTTAAAAACAAATAAAAAAACTATTTACACAAGAAGTTTTTATTTTTAGATAATATAAACAAAAATATACTTTGTGAAATAAACTATTTGTAGCATTTCATATCAACAAACCTATTTTAGTTTTATTTTTCATCACGTTTATTCTTTTTGTAATAATTTTTTAAAAAGCTAAAGGTATCAATAGCATTATCATATAAGGTACTCCTAAGTTTAATTAAACAATTCGCATGCACTAAAAGCTCATTCACTCTCAACAGATGTTGGTTGGATTGTTATTAAACACTGAAATAAAAACTCCAAATTTGAAGTACGTTTTTTTGTTGAGTCGAAGACAGAAAACTTTTTATTGAGAGATTTTAAACTGAGATCTTCTATATTTAATTCTCGTTTTTGCTCAGCACTTTGAATAGCTTTTTCTAGCTGTGTTTTTATAACAAATTACATAACGATTAATATATTCAATTAATCATATGTGACCTTGCGGTTGAAAAGGGACCACATGGCGGGATCTAGTTTCTGAGAAAATAATGTTTAAATAGTGCCCTGTGGTTTTTAAGTTTTCGGTTTTCATTTGAATTTGATAGATGGATAGATAACAGACTATTAACTGAATTAATTTTGTTCAGTTTAATTAGCTTGTTTCTGTGGTATGAATAACTCATTCCCTTTATCTACCGCAATGTCACATATTATAATTAGCAATTTTAAAATTTGTTTTTAGTTACAACCCCCGTTTACAAAGATCCCCTAAGGTACGCACAATAAATTATTAAGAATAAAATAGAGAGAATATAAAAAAATTGAACTAATTGCATATATTGATATTTTTTTAACTAACAAAAATTTACAATAAAAGGAAATTAGTTTTTTTTTTTAAATCGTATAAATACATCATATCGTAAATCTAAAAAAAAAAAGTAATGGAAATATGATATTATAATTACAAAAAAAAAAGATGAAAAAAAACAACAAAGCCGCACATAAAAACCGAAAGTCGATTTACCTATTTATAGTAACCTATCTTGATATTGCAGTTAATATAAACATTAATCGAAAATGTAACTATAAAATCTGTTTCAAAGTACAAAAGGATTAACAATACTAACAAAAAAAAAAAAAAAAAAAAAAAATCAAAGATAAAAATTTCATTTTTAGCAAAATGTTTTCTTGGCTTTTAGTAAATAAATAAAAGCAGTAAGTTCAACAATGAAACTACCTATTATTTATTTGTAACAATAGACACCAACGGAAAGGTAAGGCAAGCTGTCTATCAACACAAAACACCACAACAACATTACAAAAATAACACATAACAATAGCACATAGCATATTTGTACCCTTGATCCTAAAATCAAGTGAAAATAACAAACCAAATTAAAAATCTGAATAGCAAAATTTAAAAAAACAATTTAGAGTTAACTATATTTACCCTTTTACTAAACTTTAATAAAGTATATTTGTTTTTATGTTCAATGTTAGTTATTCAATTATTTCACATTTAGGACGTTAAAGCACCCTAGATTTAAAGATTAAGGTTGCATACTCTCTAATACACATTACGCTAAAAATTAACAGAAATTATATGGTTCCAGAATAATTAAAAAAGGCTAGACAACACAACCTAGCTCTAAAGCAGTAACAACGCCTGGCACTAAATTCTGCCAAGTCACACCTCTGCTATAAGTACACCGCTTGGCTAACAAGGATATCAAACTTGCTCAACACACTTGCCAAATCACACCACTTTGAAAACATGGAGACAACATAATTTAAACATATATACAGCTATAAATAAATATCATATTATATAACACATATAAACCCATTTTATAACAATATTAAATAATAAAGATATTTATCAAAAACTATGAAAAAAAAAATTAAAATAATAAATGAAGTTATAAATACAAAATGTGCCCTCAACCTTTTGTGAAATGAAAATCTAAAGACTATAAATTAAGAACATTCGAAAATATAACATTATCTGTATAACATTTTTCACCTACCATACCTTGAACAGGATGTTTATCAACTTTAAAAAATAAACTATTAAACGTTCTTGTTCCTGAACACGCTACATATAATTGACCATGAGAGAAACATGTTTTTTTTTAAATAAACACCAACTCTATCAAACGTTTGCCCTTGACTTTTATTAATTGTCATAGAATGGCGACGTTTTAGAACAAAAGGTAAGTTAGAATCCGACGGAGCCAACTGAATTCGAGGAACAAATACCCGTTTACCTTCAGAAACACCTGTCAAAACCTCTGCATCAGTATAATTGATTTAAAGAGCACAAATTTTCATTCGAATGCTATTACATAGCCCAGCTTTAAGATCTAAATTTTTAAGTAGTATAATTACACAATCAATTTTTAAATTTAAACAATGAGTAGGCATACCTGAAGGAGTTAAGCTGTTCAAAAACTCAACAGGGAAATTATTTCTTTCATTAAGGCCATCAGTCTCTATTTGATCAGCACTTAAATAAGTTTTGACTTCTCCATGTAGACGTTCAAGCACTTCTTTATTAATTGACAATGAATCCACATTAGTAAGTGTTAAAATGAGACGTTTAGCATAATCATCTTGTTGAGCATCTCCAAATAATTTTTCAACAATTAATACTTGTTCTCTAATAATGCACTGTTGCGGTATTTCAATACATCCTTTAAAAGGATCTTCCTCCTTGACAGATATTGTTCCACTACCAAGTTTTAACAGCAATTTGGAAAATTCTCCTTCTCCATCACGTACTCTCATATTTTCAGTTAATGTAAACTTCTGAACCCCTTGCCATTGTAAAGAACATTTTATACATGATTCTACAACTTCAACTGGTTGTCCTCTTTTCATATATTTGCCTAGAGTCACCACCAAAAAGATTGACTTTTCCATCAAACGGAAAGTTGTTGTTGCAAACATCTTTTAACAACTGATCGATTGCATTTAAAGCGTGTTTGGGAATCATGGATGTCTCGTCAAGCATAAACAAACTAACTTGCCTTAAAAATTGTCCTTAAATAGAGTTAGGAATCACATTACATGTGCTGTTATCCAGTATTGGGTCAGGAAGTTTAAATAAACCGTGCAGCGAAGATCCATTTGTAAAAAGAGTTGCTGCTATGGCAGTCCATGCAGCTGTAGCAGATTTAACACCCCTACTGCTCGTTTCAGCAATCAAATAATTATATGTAAAAATTTTGCCACTACCGGCTGGTCCACCCATAAATAACAATCTGGAATGTTGATTTTCTACGCTTGGTTGCTCGTTCAATGCAGCAAAGACAGCAAAGACATTACTTACATTTAATTGATTGACATTGAGAAGCGGTCTCATTCTATTAGCTTCGTCAACTGATTGCTGAACATTACCATTTAAATTTTCTAGATAAAAATGTATGAATTCATCAACAACAGGGAAATTATAATCAAATAGCGTTTTACCACCGATTAATAATCTTTTCGATTTGACGAAGAGTTGCTTGTTCAGCCAATATAAACGGGATTTGGCGATGAATGAAGTCCTCCATCTTAAAAGTTTTGTACGTATTCCAAAGATGCGAAGGGTTGTCAGGTTCACAAAAGAGTAAAATAATTGAAAACAGCTGTTTATTTGCTTGGACATTCGCGTTAAAACTGCCTCAGAAAGAGTATTCTGCCATTCAGTGTCATCTTGCAACAAACCTTTTAAAACACATGCTTCACAAAAGATTTCAATAACTAATCCATTAACAGTACGCAAATCCTCCCAAGATGTTGCTTTTTTTGCCTGCAAAAGTAACAATCTAAGAAAAAAATAAATCTCCTGTTGGACTAACTTTATACGTTCTTACTATCACCTTATTTCCACCTCATTGTCTAACCTTCCATTTACAATGTTTATCATCAAATACAAAGTAGTATGGAAGGTCTACATATGAATAGCGATGCGCTCCTTCATTTTTAGAATTCAATTTAAACCATGCCGTAAGGCGTGTATCGCGTTGAGTAGCACGATATAAAGCCTCTTGTTCTTCTCCTTCTCTAAAACACACAATCTGATTTTCAGGAAGATGATCCTAAGACAGATAATAGTGTGTGACATATGACATATGGGATACTCAAATATTCGCCACAGTGCCACAGGTGCAATAACATAACGACAATCTAAATAAGTGTTTATTTCATAGTGATCAACCTGCTCATTTATCAAAACATTTGCACAATCATGCCCTTTGTATATACGTTTGTACAAATATATAACAGCCTTTACAGACATGCAAGCTTTAATATTAATGTGGGCTTGATATTTCTTAGAAAACCAAGGTACCACCCAACGGTTACCTAGATTGTTGCTTTTAATAATGATAACTAACCTATTATAACGACGCCTATATCGTGGATAACCATTGTGAACGGCTACTGTGTAGTCACTAAAATTCTTTAGGACAATTTTTGCTGCACACCCCATCAATCATGCAGAGAGAATTAAGATTCAGTATCCCACATAGACCATGAATCATGCAAGTTTTAATAATATCATAAAGTTCATGATTAACAATCGGATCTGGAATTTCTGCACATAATAAATTATTGATATCTTGTGCTGTTTCAAGTTTATCATCATTGGCTAAATGAAGTAAAATGTGGGCATGCGGCAAACCACGCTTTTGAAACTCAATAACCTAAACATGTGTTACAACTTTGCCCAATACACCATGTTTGAATATATCATTGAGGAGATTATTTAACTTGAGTTTTAATACTCTAGTAACCAAATAAGGTCTATCATTCGCAGTCTGACCAGGATATAAATTTTCAGTTATTTCACGCTTTAAGGTTGCAAGTAAAAGTAATTAAAAGACCTGCTTTACCATACTTTTTAATAATTACCATAGCATCTAAAAGGTTTCTTTTAAAGCTCTAGGACTTCCTACATAAGATGACGGCAAAACTACTACTCGCCCTGGTCCAATATTATGATCGTTCACAATGTTGTTAACATGTTCATGTAAGGCATCATACTGCTCGCTTCTAAGTTTGTTTTGGTTATTTCTGATAAAAGCAAGACGCTGGCCTTCAATTTTGACATATGCATCAACAGCATATTGCTGAAATAGTTTCTTGCCATATTATAATGAACAGAAAAATTGCCTAACAGAAAGTCAATAATTGTAGAAGTGAGGTAATGTTACATGATTTCTAACCAATGTGGCTCGCTAAGGGTTATGCACTAACTGAGTATGCCAACCAGCATCACCTCTTGGGAAAAAGAGAGAATAAACCATAGGATCTAAGTTGGCTGACATACTTGATAAAATTTTTAAAGAATAACTTGGGTAAATAACAACTTCCCTTAAAGTTGGGGGAGCACCATCTTCACCAACAAATACAACAGCAACTTCATCATGTGAAGGTAAATTATAGCAACGTCTATCACCCCCTTCAAGTAAAGATATTTTTACAACTGAGACTGAGCGACCTTCTATAGCTGCTTGACGAACCTCTTTATCTTCTTTTCAGCTATGCTTTTAAATGCAAGAGCAAATAGACTTTGTTCAGTAATTATTGTTTGCAGTTGAAACATTAAATCACGTAAACAAAGATCGTTACCACGTTGTTGCATTCTAAAAGTTACTGCTGCAAGTAGATCATAATATACTTGAGAATATATTGGTGGAATATCTTGATCTAGCTTAAGATTACCTACGAGATGATAAATCTGGCCACATATATTAAATGGAGACCCATGATTTATTGGTTGAACTACATCTGCTTTAAAAAAAGCAAAAGAAAGACAGACATTGTAATTTCGAATATGTTTTAAAAAATTAACATTAGCATTACGATCTACAAGGGTGCTGTTAATACAAAAAATTTAAAACAATAAAAAAAATAAAAAGTAAAGTATTTGTAAACCCCTTTTAGTAAACTTTAATATTACTTTTATAAAAAAATTGTATAAAAAACATGCAAATAATTTAACCTTCACAAACAATGACTGTTCAAAAGTTGTAGTTTAATTTATTTTTCTAAATTCTAAATAAAAGAAAAAAATTTAACAGCATCACTAAAATGCTAATAATATATTAAGCAACATGACAAAGTTTAACAAAGTTTAGTTATCTGTTTCCTTTTTTATTTTATTACTTAATCTTTTTTCCAATATTTTATATTATTTATTACACATTAAAATCAGAAGATTAAATTAATTAAAGCTTTACATAAGTTAAAGGCTCTATAAACACTAAGTTATTAAATTCAAAATAATCAAAAGAAATAAAATCTGCTGAAAATCAACAAATTAGTTTAAAATTATAAATTAAAAATATTACAAATTTAAATGTGATATTCATTACAGTTAATAAACTGCTGCAATACATTTTTTAACAACTGATTAACTGATATGGTATATATTCGAAGCAATATAATAGCCATGTTATATTGTGAATCAAAAATTAAATTAATAAAAACTACAAAACTTTTACTTGGTGCCTCTTAGCACCCCTGTATAGATGAGCCCTCTATTTGAAAGAGAGCTCATCTTTACTATTATTACTGCACCATTTGTAAAATGACCTCTCAGAAAGTGGCTCTGGGTGCTGGGAGCTATATAGTCTATAGTTGCTCCAATTTAGATCTAGAGAAAAATTGATAATATAATAAAAAATAGATATTTGCATTAAAAACAATCAAATAAAAACTCTTAATACAAAAAAATTAAAAAAAAAAACGCAGTAAAACCCTTTCAGAAAACTTCAATATTATTTTTTTGAAAAAATTATTAGTGAAAATTTCTAAAAAATTTACAAAAATTAACATTCACAAAAATTCACAAAACTTAACAATTGTTCTTCATACCACATAAATACATCATTTATACCACATAAATGTATACCACATAAATACATCATTTATACCACAAAAATACCATCATGTATACCACATAAATACATCATTTAATAAATAAAAAATGTAACAAATAAGTAAAGAAATAAGTAAAGATATATATATATATATATATATATATATATATATATATATATATATATATATATATATATATATATATATATATATATATATATATAACCTTATAGAAACATATTTAAACATATTTAATCACATTCATAAAACAGTTATATAACTTATATTAATACATACACAAACAATAAAAAAACATGTTAAATTTTCATAAAAACACAATGATAAAAAAGCTATAAAGCACATTTTACAATATACACATAATTATCAAAAAAGCAATGCAAACAATGAACATATAACTTGAATTGTGCAAACAAAAATTTTAAAAATGGTTTGAGAAAATGTTAAAAGATTCAAAGTAAATAAAATATAAATATTTATATACAAACAAAATCTTTACCTTTTTTTCATAAGAACTGTAATTCTCATAACAAAAATTTAATCTTTACATACAATAAAATACGACATGTCAGTTTTAGCACAAAATTTTAAATTATTTTTCTAAATTTTCTAAAAAAACAGTTAATGTTTTGCAGAGTGTGCTCTTCTTCTGCAGTTTTGCAGATTGTGCTCTTCTTATGCAAAGGCTAGGAGAAATAAACTCCGACTAAAAAGTCCCCTGCCTTGGGGCTATTGGTTGAGTAAAGGCTAGAGATGGTGTCTCGATAAAAACAATCATCTTGAGCAGATGTTAACTGCATCCAGCTAAACATCCCCTGCCTTGGGGCTCTTGGTTGAGTAAAGGCTAGAGATGGTGTCTCGATAAAAATACTCATCTTGGGCAGATGTTAACTGCATCCTGCTGCTGTCTTGTAGAAAGCCTCCTAGGCAAAGACTTTAGGGGTAAGCAGAAAAATTCTGCTAACCAGCCTCGAACCCCTTCTACGCTGGCGTAGATGTAACCTGTGTTACATTGTTTCCTGCCTAGGATGATGAATGTTAAATTTACCAAAAAAGAA